GGTATAGATCTCTAGAAAAGATATCACATGGGTGTGAGATTTGACTTTTCTAGATATTTGTACCAAATTTAATGGTGATCCTTTGAGGTCCTACACACATGGGTGTCGGAGGATCTCATAGGATCATTACTCTCTCTATATATATATCATCATCATCATCATCCGAGCCTTATTCCAAATACTTGGGGCGACTACACGAATTATGTTTTGTCATTCTACTCTATTAAGGACCATGCCCTCACTTAAACTATTAGTCATTGCATCTTTTTTCACTATTTTCATTTATATTCTTTTGGGTATTTCTCTTGCTTTTTTAATGCTTTCCACTTGAATCATATCACCCATCGTAACCAGTGTTATGCTTGACATTAATATTCCAAAAGTAAAAAAACAATAGAAAAATTATAATATAATCTATACTTTAGCGTGTGCAAATATGTTGATGGATGGATGGATGAAGGTTCCACTATTGATTATGTATGAAACGCATGTTCTACTATTAGGGTTTTGGGGCTGAAGTCAAAAGGTTTGAATGCCAAAAGCTTTATTAATTATTAATGGAGTTTTTGGAAGGATTAGGGGGCAAAGAGGGGCACTTAGGGTTTGATTGGATTCGATTGTGATGTATAAGGGATTGGGGAAGAGACAACCCTAGACAGGTGTGGAATAAAATATACATGAGCCCAAATCCCACGCTCATCCCATGCCTCAAGCTACACGGGCTACCTAGTTTCACCATGCAAAAAAATAAAAAAAATAAAAGAAAGAAGCTTAAGGGGAGAGAGAGAGAGAGAGATTTGAACCTGGGCTGTCTTGGAGAGATAAGAGAAGGAGGGGAGGGGTAGAGAGAGTGGTGTCTGCCCCATTGAAGGAAAAATCGGGCGGCCTAAGCCTGGTTAGGTTTCGGCTGGTTTTGGTAACTTGTTAGGTATTTAAAAAAAATTTAAAAATTAAAATAATATACTCAAAAAATAAGACATTTAGTTTGTAATGTATTTTTTAATCTTTTTTATTTTTTTAAAAAAATTCAAAAAATCCCTAGGTGCAAATCGATTATTTAAAATCTTTATTATTATTATTATTATTATTAATTTTCAACTTTATTTGGATATACTTTGTTTAATCACTTTTTGAATTATACCTTTCATGTTTTACTACATAAAATTTGTATTTTATTTATTTTTTTCAATACTTTTTTGACGCCCGAGACTTGCTTAGTTAGAACGGTTGAACCGATAGGTTTACCGGTTGGACCGCTTCCATACCCATATCCGGTTGACCAGTCGGGTTCCATGTTTCCTAGTTTGTCATCTCCTTTTGTTTTAGAGAGAGAGAGAGAAAGAGGAGATATGGTGGCCCCCTTTTAAATATAACTTCCTAAGTTTAGGAAGAGAGAGATTTTATGGCTTATTATTAAATGTAAAGGGTGCATAGGGGTACGTGCATGGCCATGGCAATATTCACGTATTGCATTCGAGGAGGCACGGGCGCCCCCCGCCGATTTCTCCTAGGTTCCCCCCTCTTTCTCTCTCTACCTATTTCTGTGCATTCCATCTCTTTCTCTCTCTAAATAATATAATATTTATTATCGATTGCTGTGCTTAACTCACTGGGTTACCACTTTCTCCACCTGAGTTGGTAACTGCAATGGAATTGAGAGTGAGAAAATAGCAAAGTACAGTGAATAATTAAGCCCTAACACTATAATAATCCACTGCTTATATTGTTTGAAAAAAAATTATATAAGTTGTGAACCTTATATTGTAGAACACCTCAAAAACCTATGGAAAAAGGTTGTTTCATCACTAGAAAAAGTTTTAATTGATCATCTTAACCTCGATATATATAAATATATGATGAATATGAAAGAAAAACTCAATTTTAAGTCTTAAAAATAGTGTATATTGTAACATATTATCTAGATCATTCATTTTTAAGGTCTTTGAGTACTCACAAATCAGCTAGATTTAAGCTTTGAATTTCATTACGAAAAATCGACTTTTAGGTCATGATAAGAGTTTAGGCACCAAAAATAAATACATATTTGAATGAGATTTGAAGGTACTCCGGCACCTTATACAAACCTCACCCAATATATTTTGCTAATAGTAAATATATATTATATAATGCACGTAGCTCCTTTGCCCTCCCTAGAAGCAAAGCAACGACGTCGATCACTCCTAGGCGCCAACGCTTTGGCCACTTGCTACCCACCAATTTACAATTTTCATTTTCTATTTTATTTGTTGTATTATTTTTTCCTTGTTAATTAGTTTAGGGTTTAGGGTTAAAAGGAGTTTTTGAAGACCGAAAACCGCCCAACCGGCACTTGTCGGTGAGTGTTGGGAGGACACCCACCCCGAACTTGCGTTCTTTCACCACTCACCCTTGTCGCTTCTCTTCTTCTCTTCTTTCTAATTAACATATGTACCTTCTTCTTTGATCTTTCAAATTTTTTTTTTCTTTTTCTTGTTCTTGTTCTTGTGTGTGAACAATCAATATCAGAATTACAGAAATTCTTATTCATGTTGCTTTCTCTCTCTTCCTGTACTGTACTTTTATCTTTCATTCGAACCTTTCATATGTATCATTTTTATTTACAATGTTTTTCATTTCCATCGATTGGATGGGGTTTTTAAGTTATGATCCATACCAGAGAAAAGCAAACTGCACTCTTCACATTACACTCTCTCTTGCATTCTTGACATGGGTACTGTACATAGCATCTCTCTTGACATGGGTACTGTATATAGCATCTCTCTCTCTCTCTGCAAAGCAATATGAGGACACACATACATGAGGGTGGGATACATGTAGACTGAGTTGTGGGCCATTGGATTTGTTGGTGATGGCTCAGTTTTTTAGTGTAGAGTTGAAAGCAAAGAGGTGGGCATGTATTTGGATGAAATTAGGGTAGAAAATAGGACATGATTGTGATTAGGTTACCGAGAACATTTATTTTTACAGTGGGCAGTAGACAATAAAAAAATAAGAGAGCCATGTGTTTACTTTTGATTCCCTTGACGGTCAAACTTACAGTTGCATCCACCGATGAAAATCAATCTCTTTTTTCTAAATTTCACACCTTTAATTTTGAATATTAAATAATAATGTTATCATAATTACTGCTTCCTTCTGCCTGTCTATATTCACACTCCCTTTATAATCTCACTTTTATCCCTTTTTTCCATTTTTTCTTTTAAAATAGAGAAATCCACCCGTCCGTACGATTATTAAATACCTCCAAGTATTATTTTATTATTATTCGTATACAAATTAAGGAAAGATCGAATGAAAGGTATGTGAATCATAGGAATTCATGAGGAATTCTGATTTTTTTTTTTGTGTTATTCTTATTTTTCAAATCAGTCTGAAACCCGCAAGACATGGGTTATGCCTGCGAAGATGGATGCAAGAGCATTTCCCATGCCACTTCTGCTCCTCCAACTAAACCCCTCTTTTACTCTATTTTTATATATAAGAAAAAAAAAACACACCCACTTGAGATTAAGCCCCATTATTTGTTGACATTGTTATTACAGGAGATAAAGGAGGAGGAAGTCTTGAAGTGAGAAGGATAAATGAGGTTGCTAAGAAGGATTAAAAAAAGAAAAAGAAAAATAGAGATAGGTGGAATGAATTTTGGTTTGACTGTAGATATTGTAGGAAAGGATTAGAAAGCAAGATAATTCATTTTTATAGACATGGGCATGTGTGTGATTGAGTTGCAGTGTAGTCTAGAGAGAGAGAGAGAGAGAGAGAGAGAGAGAGGTAGAAGAAGATAGTAACGAGGTAGGAAATAATAAAGAAAAAGGATAAGTGAATAATTGAATAAGGGAAGGATGGAGGGGTCTTAGTTTATTTTCCCCACCCAAGAGAACCAATAAGGGGTTTGGAGATTGCTGACATGAAAAGACAGATGGCCAAGTGGGTATGAATAAATGGGTGTGGAGGTCGGAGGCCAGCGTGTGGGTCTTTTGTCAGACACCCCTCCCTCCTCCCTCTCCCTCTCCCTCTCAACAGGGATTGTTATAGAGAGAGAGAGAGAGAGCTTTTTAAGCTTCTTGTCATGAACCTAGGGTTTATGGTCTCCATGTAGATTACGAGTCTCTCATTTCCCATTTAAAAATAAAATGGTAAAAGAGCCCATTGTCCTAAGTTTTATATGACAAAAGAAATACCATCTATGTTCTTTGCCCATTTCGAAATGAAAAAAATTTATATAAGGCTTCTAGAATTAAGGTTGCACCTAAAAATCTATGAAAGTGTTGTTTTAATGTTGAAAAACTCTACTAATTGATCATCTCGATATTGAAATAGTATACTTGCCACACATTCTCTGAAGCATACATTTTTAAGATTTTCATATGTTAATAGATCTACTTGAATTGTTTTTGGAATTTATATTTTATAATTAAAATTAAAAATATATTTTTCCAGGCAATCCTAAAAAAATTTTACACCAAAATTATATCTTAGGATAAAATTTAGAGATGCGCTTTAATTAGATTGTACCAAAATTATATCTTAGGATAAAATTTAGAGATGCGCTTTAATTAGATTGTTTAAGGTTGCCACGCCACACCCACTTCGGAATAATAATAATAATAATAATAATTGATTTTATTTTTTCGATGGGGAAGAGAATGTAGAGATGGATTTTTGTTATATAAAGGGAGTGGTGCCTTCACAGAAATGTTTTCCTTTCTCCTCATCCTTCTATTTGACCTTTCTTTGGCCTCCTTCCCAACTCGAATGCATCATCCTCAACCCTTGGCCACTGTAACACCTCAAAAAAATCTCTCCTCTCCTCTCTTCTTGTCTGATGGCGGCCTCCCCTTTTATTGAGCTCAGCAGCAAAGGGAAGAAGAAGAGGATAGTTTAGGAGCAGTAAGAAGCAAGCAGAAAAGAAAGTGAGAAGCCTTTGTGCCTGCCTCTCTTCATAGTTTTGTGTTTGAGTGATTTGATACAGAGAGAGAGAGAGAGAGAGAGCAAAAGAAATGAGCTCCTCCATAAACAATTGGTTGGGTTTCTCCCTCTCTCCTCAACAACAGCAGCAGCAGCAACAGTCTTCTGACCATTCTCAATCTCAGCAGCACCACCATTCTGGTTTTGCCTCCTCCTTCAACAACAACAATGATCTTTCAGTCTCAGGAGAAGGAGGAGACTGCTATATGGGGCTTGGTGGTGGCGATTCTCAAGCCACCACCCTCAGCAGGCCAGACGGTCCTTTTGGGATCTTAGAAGCGCTCAACAGACCTCATCAAAACCAAGGTTTCAATCTCTTTCTCTCTCTCTCTCATCTTTGAATTTGATTTTAATCGTGTTATTTCTTCTTATTTTTCGTTTTTCGTTATGATGCTCTTTCGAATCGAGTTTTCAGTCTACTTATATTGCCCTTACAACTGTTATACTACGCTGTTTTTGATCTGCTTATATTTTCCATGTGAGTTTTAGATGATCTTCATTCCTTTCTTATTCTTCTCACAATAATGTTTTTACCCCCTCCACCACCACCCATGAAAGATAACAGGAAAAAAGGATAGCATTCCTTCAGTGTTCCTGTCTTTTTTTCTCTAAAACGTTATTCAATCATATTTTCCAGATGTTCATTTTTTGTTTGTGTCTCATCTTAGAGTGTTTTGGAATTTGTTTTTGTTGAATGGGTGGTTAGATTGGAGCGTGAAGAGCTTGAGCGTGGGCATCATCAACTCCGACTCGAGTTGTTACGGTGGTGGTGGCGGTGGAACGACCACCAATGTTATAGCAGAACGGCAGCATCAAGATGGAGTAGGAAGACCAAAGCTTGAGGATTTCCTAGGCGGTGCCTCCCTCGGAGGAGGAGGAGGAGGGAGCACCACCCACTATACTGGTGGTGGTGAGAACAACAACAACAATAACAACATGCTATTCTCAATGGACTGCTCCTTGCAGCTTCCTTCCAATGGGAATGGGAACAACTCATCGTCGTCGTCGATGTTAGGGCTGTCGATGATAAAGACTTGGTTGAGGAACCAGCCACATTCATCTTCCACCGAGAATGATGGAGGAGGAGCAGCGGTAAGCAACACTCATCAGACACTGTCACTCTCCATGGGCACTGGTGGTGGCAGCACACATCATCAGCAGCAGCAAGGCCCCATTCAAATCCCTTTGCCTCTCCCGGCGCCTATGGCAGTGCCCGGTGAGAGTTCGTCCTCCGACAACAATGTGAAGCAGCAGAAGCCTCCTCCTCTCGACCAGGCGGGTGCCATTGAGCCAGTGCCAAGGAAGTCTATCGATACATTTGGCCAACGAACTTCCATTTACCGTGGTGTCACAAGGTCTCTCTATCATCACATTTTCTAACCCACCTAACGAAGGACCTCAGTCGTTACATTGCTGATTGTTCCCATTCCATATGGTTTCTTTTCTTTTCTTTCTATTTTTTCATAACAAATAAAAGTTGGAATTTTGAGATCACCTGAAACTAAAAGTTTCCCAAACTATCCATTTTCTATTTTTCCATAACAAATAAAAGTTGGAAATTTGAGATCACCTGATGCTAAAAGTTCCCAAACTATCCATCCTCAGTTCTGTAACGTGGTTTTGATATTTCATAGACTTGAGAGCAACATATTATTGCATTTTTATCTTTCTATATCTTTGTAAAATGCACGACCTAATTGCATTTTCCTCTTCCCTTTTATTGGTGCAACTGAAATGGAAGTTTGTTTGGTGAACACAGGCATAGGTGGACTGGGAGATATGAAGCTCATTTGTGGGACAACAGTTGCAGGAGAGAAGGGCAAACCCGCAAGGGTCGACAAGGTATGACACTTTTGCCATCTCTTTCTCTCTCTTTCAAAAACTCGTGTGGTTTTCTGATATACATGCTGATGGTTCTAATTGGTTTCATGTTTGGGGATCCTCATGATTGATGGAATTGGTGTTTCTCCTTGACAAACAGTTTACTTGGGTGAGTGGAACTCAAAAACAAAAAGCTCTCATCTCTTTAACTTGTATTTTTACAACTCTTATCTCTCTCACTCTCTCTCTATTTGGAAACAATGGATTTGGAATGAATGATGAGCAGGTGGTTATGACAAAGAAGAAAAAGCGGCAAGGGCTTATGATTTGGCAGCTCTAAAGTACTGGGGAACCACTACCACCACAAATTTCCCGGTTCGTCTCTCTCTCTAGATATTTGAATGAGACAATCCCTCTCTGTCCTTTAATCTTCTGATTACTACTTTTTTACAAAATGTTGTTTTATTAGTTTCATTATAGAAGCTTGAAGAAACTTTGTTCTACTGTGATTGATAGATAAGTAACTATGAGAAGGAGGTAGAAGAGATGAAACATATGACCAGGCAGGAGTATGTGGCATCCCTCAGGAGGTAACCAACACCAACATTTCCCAAGATATCGAATTTGAATCATAAATTTAAGAAAAAAAAAAAAAAAAAGAAAAAAAAATTTAAATTTTTGTATGTATTTATTTATTTCTTCTCTGTTGTCCCCTCACAGAAAGAGCAGCGGTTTTTCCAGGGGAGCATCAATTTACCGTGGTGTTACAAGGTACCCCATCCTTGTAGATTTTTTGTGTTTTTTTGTTTTCTCATTAAATTTCATTTTTTTTTATAATGTCTTTCAGTGGGTCATAGTTTCATAATTCAATAATCACACCCTTTAGGTCATGAGAATTTTTTTTTTAGCCCTCACGATTTTGCGCTGTACATTTTACTAACAAGAAGTTGCCGAAAGATAAAAGCTGAGGACTGATACAAAATGTTGAATTTTCATGCAAATACAGTGTGTAAGTGGAGCGATCATCATGTCTTCATTGCATATATTATTGGGCACGCATTTATGTTTTAAATCAGGAAATTTATAACCATATGTTTACCTAACAAATGATAAGTGTTCTAGTATAAAATTTTATTTCTTTTTCCAGTTGGTCACCTTTTTTTTTTTAATAGATTGTTGAACGATTGGGACCTCTACCTCTTAACATAGTTTTCTCAATACTTTTCTCATTTCTGCTGCATATTATAATTGGATAAACTATTTATCATTTCTAATTATCATCATATGAAATGCATAACATTTGTTTCTGCCAGCTTTTTTAAGCAATATGCATGCCATGGGCTATTATTGGCTCATGCTGCGTATGGTGTGTCCTAAGAATTTTCACTTGAAAGTGAATCGAATTAAGTAGTTTTGATTATGATTTTTCTATTTTCTGGATAATTACAAATTAACTAGTTTTGATTATGATTTTTCTATGTTCTGGATAATTACAAATGAGTGAAATTTCCAAAAATGTACTGTTTAAAAAAAAAGATTTACACGAGGGAAGAGTTTATATAAGGTTGCAACCTTGAAATGTAGAATCACATATGCACCTCAAAAATCTATCGGAAATGTTGTTTTAATGTTGAATAAACCATCTAGTCGATCATCTCGACATTGAAATGTATGAATATAAAAAAAAACAGTTTTTGAGTCTCGAAAATAGTGCATCTTGCAACATATTATCTAGACCGTCCATTTTCAATATTTTCATATATTTATATAGATCTACTTGATTTTAACCATTTTTGGGATTTAAAAATTTCTAATTAAGTATGAAAATAGATTTTAAGATAATACTAAGAATTGTTTATAACAAAATTACATGTTATGATAAAATTTGAAGGTGCTAGATTGTTTAAGGTTGCATCCTTATAGAAACCGCACCCTTTAAGCAATTATCATTGGTCTGGTATACATTTAGGCTTTAGCCTATAATGGTGGAGTACTTAGAAGATAATGGTGCAGTGCATTGATTAGTCTGCTGCCAGTAAACTTTATGATGAATGGATTAATGTGGCCTCTAAAGTTTGAGATGCATATGAAGCAGATTTATTTTTCTAGCCAGGCTGGGGCACGCTGAGCAACTAGTTATGGAGCTTTAAGAGGTTTCGTGTTAACTGTGTATTTTTCCTTTTTTGCGTGCGTCATTTTTTTTCCTGCACCACTTATTTTATTTCTTCAATGGCCATCCCGTTTGCATTGCTTTTAGAGCTCCAAATTCATGGATTAGCTCACTTTTTAACATCATTATTATTTTATGGGATTTGCAGGCACCATCAGCATGGAAGATGGCAGGCAAGGATAGGGAGGGTAGCAGGGAACAAAGATCTTTACTTGGGGACCTTCAGTAAGTTAATCCAAAAGAAAAAGAAATTAATTTCGACAAAAAGAACTAACCTTTCCAAAAATAAATGCCAAAAACAAAAGGTTAATACCATCACTATTTTTAGAACTGCACCAATTGATATGCCTCTTGTATATACTACCACCACTGCTATATCCATGAAATATGCCTTAAGCCAATAGTAATCTAACTTTTGCAATTTCACAGGCACTCAAGAGGAGGCAGCGGAGGCATACGACATTGCTGCGATAAAGTTCAGGGGTTTGAATGCAGTGACAAACTTCGACATGAGCAGATACGATGTGAACAGCATTATGGAGAGCAGCACTTTGCCCATTGGAGGAGCTGCCAAAAGATTGAAGGAGTCATCTGATCAAACCACCAACCACCCCATGCCATTGCCATTGCCATTGCCATTGGGGGAGAGCACCATGCCCATGCCCATGGCCATGCCTATGGCCATGCCATTGCCCATGAGCATGAGAAGAGCAACGGATGAAGACAACATTATCTCCATGGCTAATGCTGCTGCTTCACACATGACGACAAACGAGGGCATCGCTACTGCTGCCGGTTATGGGTGGCCCATATTAGGATTTCATCATCAGCCATTGACCACCCAACACTTTCCCTACTCCCACTCCCAAAACCCCCAGCAGAGGGGAGGTTGGTGCAAATCAGAAAGGCAGCAGCACGAGGAAAGCAACAGCAATAGCAATAGCAGTAACATCATGCAAGAAGCCCACCAACTCCATCTTGGGGGTGGCAGCAATAATACCCACAACTTCCTCCAACAGCAAGCATCTGTGTTACACAACCTCATTAGTTTAGATTCTCCGTCGTCCTTCGATCAGACTTCCGCCTCGAATTCCATCATATACACAGGTAGCAGCGGCTATCAATTGGGTGGGCCCATTGGCACCACTATAATACCAACCGGTGTCAATCCCCATGTTGCAGATCATCATCAAGGAAGCCTTGGAGAAGGAGAAACCAAGCAATTGGGTTTTTATGAGAATGGTTATTTGTCAGTTGCTGCCGACCCTTACTCAGCAGGGGCAAGGAATGTTTACTATCTGCAGCAGAACCAGTCAAAGGCAAACAACAATGGCAACTATGATGATGATAGCCACCATCAGACTAATAACAACAACATCAGTAGTTGGATGATCCCAACAACTTCCCTCCAGGCTTTGGCACCCACCAGATCATCATCAAACCTTGCAGCAGTTTGCCATGCCACTCCGATTTTCTCGGTGTGGAACGACACATGATGATGATACACCCATGCATGCTCCCTATCAATCTTATTGTTCACTTGTTTCTCTCCAGTGAAACAGTAACAACAGCTCCTCCACACCACCCTCCCCCTCAACAGTATCAATGAACAAAAAACCAAAAGAAAAACAAAAAGGAAAAGAAACTAAGAAATAGCAAGAAAGATGTACACAGCATAGCATAGTATAGCATCGTAGCTTAGCTCCTGATTTTGATTTTTTCCTCAAGGAACTAAGGTGACAGGATACAAGGTGGTTCTGAAGTTCAGATGCTGTGGATTTTGGGAACTTCAGAGGGATACAAGATGGATACATCTCTAACAACCAGCTGGCTTTGTAAATTTCAAATTACAAATAAACAAAACATTGGATTAACTTCCTCCCCTTTTTGTTTGTATACCTATAAATTATGATTGGTAGTTACAATGGAGAATCATAATTTCAGATTAGTCATTGTCTGCTGCATTCATTGTAGAAGAGAATCATTAACTGCTTTGTTTTTGTTATGTTTTCATTTTTGTTTTTTTTGGCCTGAAACTGGATTCTGCAGATTCTTCATTCTTCAGGACAACATTTCTAGTTTTACCTTAAAACATCTGATTCTTCAGTAATATGTTTGTCTTTCCTTCTTTTTTCCCCCTTTTAGATTCCTAACCTGAATTCTCAATACCATACATTCTTTGAGATATACAATACTATTTTATTTTTCCTCACTAAAACATCTGCTTGATCTCCTTTTCTTTTGTAATTAAATTAATATATGATAAAAGTTAATTAAAATGAGAAATTGTGGTACAACTTCTGAGAGCAAACAAACCCACAGAGAGTTAGCATAGGGATAGGCTCACGCCTCATAATGGGATTAAAATACATAAGAAGCAAGGAGCTCTATTATCTCATCAAAGATATCCTCCACACCAAAATTTAGTAGTAGACTCAGTTTCAATGAAGGCTAACCATGTTCTCTGCAGATTTAAAAATGGTTCATTGTACAATTGACACTTCCGAATGCTTCAACCGAAGGCCACAAAATAGGCAAGCATAGCCTCGAAATTGGATCCATGGAGCTGATTTTTCATTAACAAAAACTCTTTACATTTTCACATTTTGCAACACCTAAAAGTATATCAAGCTGCTCTTTTTTTACACTTTTTGAATGTTAACGACTTCTCATTAAAAAAAACAGAGTACAGAAGAAGAAGTAGAGACAGGGGTCATCAACTTTCAAACAAAACCAACCAACACCTGAACATCCTAACCCTCAATTACCCTACACTACAAACAAACCAGAATCCCTACTAACCATAGTCCTCTATAGACCCCACAAGCTGATCCCTTATTCCTCCCCACCGAGCCTTAACGTCATCCCATCGACAATAAGAACATAGGTCAGGGTTGGGGCAACATGCTGACGGCACCCAAACTTCTCATAAACCTTCTTCACATGGCAGCATCTAAAGGTGTCGGCTCAACCAGCAACTGCAAATTAGGGTATAAAAATAAAGCAAGAGAGAAGAGGACGGAATGAAGAACCATAGAGATGGAAAGTTGGGAACCAAGACAAGTCGATAGGGAAACGGATCAAGAACCTCCTCTAGGACATTGTAAGAGGCCAGAATAAAAGAGATCTTACTCCTAAAAAGGATCAGACCTCCATGACAGGGGTCAAAATTGCCCACAGCAAGGCTTACCCTGCCTTAGGCGTTAACCTTCACTGACCTAGTACAGGGGAATTTCAGGTCAAAGAGCTAACTCATGAATCCAGAAAAACCACAATAGAGTTCCGAACCCTAGAGGAAGGGATAACTCTATTTTAGACATTAAGGGAAAAGAAGGTCACCAGGAGAGGTAGATCTCAGACGAAGGTGAGGAAGAGTGAAGGATGGAGAGAGACGAAAGAAAGGAAGAGAGGAGGAAGGGAAAGGGAGCGGGGTGAGCCACACCTCGGATGCTCTCTCTCAGGAAAAAGAACACAAAAACTACCTCAGGGGGACAATACACAAGAGAGAGAGAGAAGGGAGGAAGGGAGAGAGAGAGTGGAGGAAGGAAAGAGTGTGACAACTACGAGTCACAGATCAGGGGACAAGGTCCCAGATTTGGAAGAGAGAGAGAGAGAGAGAGAGAGAGAGAGAGAGAGAGAAGAAGAAGAG